TGTCTTTAAATTTTTCAGTTTTTATTATGATGTGTATTGGAGTTGGCCTCTTTGGATTCATCTTGATTGGGACCCTCTGTGCTTCCTGGACTTGCATGACATTTTTCGCTCATCAAGTTAGGTGAATTTTCTGTCATTACTTTTTCAAGATTTTATTTATTTTTAGACGTAGGGTAAGGAAATGTGAAAAAGAGGGAGAGAAATATCAATGTATGGTTGCCTCTCATGTGCCCCTCACTGGGGGGGACCTGGCAAGTAACCCAGGCATGTGCCCTGATTGGGAACTGAACTGAAGACCCTTTGGTTCACTGGTCCATGTTCAGTCCACTGAGCCACATCAGCCAGGGCCTGTCATTACTTTTTCAAACTGTTTTTTTATAACTTTCTCATCTTCTTCTCCTTCTGCTATTCTTATGATATGGATATTATTATGTTTCATGTTGTCCTGAAGCTCCCTTAAACCTTCTTTATTCTTCTTGATTCTTTTTTCATTCTGTTGCTCAGTCTGGGAATTTTTTCCTACCTTGTCCTCCACCTCGCTGATTCAGTCTTCTGCTTCATCTAGCTTGCTTTTAATTCCTTCTACTGTGTTCTTCAATTCAAAAATTGTATTCTTCATTTCCTCCTGGCTCTTGATAGTTTCTATGTACTTTTTCATGCTGATGTAGTTCAAAGAAGGTTCCTTGTGGCTTCCCTGTACTTCTTTGTAATTCTCACTGAGCTCATTGAGCTGCCTTATAAGCATTATTTTGAATTCATTGTCTGATAGTTTGGTCCCCTCTATTTCATTTAGCAGTCTTTCTGGGGATTCTTCCTTTCCTTTTGATTGGAGGTTGTTTCTTTGTTTACCCATTTTTTGTAAGACTCTTCTTTTTTGCTTCTGCTTCTTAAATTTATCTGTTTTGACTTCCTGACTTTGTGGTATAAACTTGTATGGTACGAGACCTGTGAGATTCAGTGGTGCAGTCTCCCTGACCTCCTGAACTTGATGCTCTTTGGATGCTTTGCATGCCGTTTATGTCGGCTCTGTGGAAGTAATTGGGTTTTGATTGTTGTTGGGTCATTCTTTTGCGGGTCCTTGCCTCCAAATGGCTGGCTCAGAGTCACTCTGCCCACCCACCACATCTTGTATGCTATTGTGTAGGTGCACTTTTTTTTCCCCCTGGATCTGCCTCTGGTAATGTCAGATGGTGTCACAGCCTGGCTTTAGGCAGCCTGTTCAAGATCACCAGGGATCCACAGTCTATGGCTGCTTCCTTCAGTTGTTAATCTAGTCACTCTGTCACCTTATTGCTTTTTTACTGTGCAAAAGTGCTTAAAATACTTTTAGTGAAGTCTGGAGGGGGAGTTGACTGAAACATTTTTTGACAAAGTTATTAATATTTAGTCAAAATTATAAAAATTGTTTAGTTTATATACTATTTATTTTTAAATGAATTTTTAAAATTTACTTGTATTATAAGAGAATACTAAAATATATCAAAAGTACAAGAGAAAAGTTTCCCATTTTGTATTGTGTCAGAATGGTACACTGTTTTTTGGGATTATCACTTAGTAAATTATATAATGCCTAATCACTGGATTGTACACCTGAAACTCATATAATAATGTATGCTAACTGTAATTGAAAAATAAAAATGATTAAAAAGTAAATCGTGATGCTAGAAATAACACAGTTTTATTGAGATATAATTCACATATCATATAATTTGGCTAGTTAAGGTGTACCGTTCAGTGGGTTTTAGAATAGGCACCGATATAGGCAACTGTCACCACAGCACATGTTAGAACATTTTCATTGCCTCGAGAAAGTTTCTTTCTAGCTATTACTCATGTACTCTCCCATTCCCCCAGCTCCCACACCCCAGCACTACCCTCCTGCCTTAAGCAGCTACTACTCTAATTTGTGTCTCTAATAGAGTTGTTCATTTTGGACTTTTATATCTATATATATGAAAATATGAAAAATATGAAAAATAAATATGAAAAATATGAAAAATAAAATAAAGAAAAAAGTAAAGTTCCCATATTATTATTTTTCATTCAAATCAGTATTTCATTTGTCCAGGCTATCTTCTAGTGCTTTTCTATAGACTTATTCAGTTTTCATATGTTTGCAGTAACATAATACAATTTTATGTTCTACATATTCACATAACACTATATTATTTTATTCATTTTGTAAGTTATATTTGGTAAAATTCACTCTTTTTGGTGTGAGTTTTGACAAACTCAGAAAGTCATGTAACCAACAGCACAATCAAGATTTAAAAAGTCTTATTATCCTCCAAAATTCCCTCATACTGCTGTCCTGTAATCAACCCTTTCCTTAGGCCTCTTAATCTTTGGTAATTTTTTTTTAACTGTATTTTTCTGACCTGTATTTTCTTTTTATAGTTTTACCTAACCCAGAATTTCATATAAATGGAATCATACTATATGTAGTTGTTTTAAAAATATTTATTTTTTTTTAGGGAGAGGTGAAGGGAGGGAGAAAGATAGGGAGAAAAATATAAATGTGAGAAACACCAATCGGTTGCCTCTCTTATGTGCCCTGACTAGGAACTAAACCTGCAACCCAGGCATGTGCCCTGACAAGGAATTGAACCAGCAACTTTTTGCGTTGTGAAACAAGGCCCTGCCAACTCAACCACACTGGTCAGGGCTATATTTAGTCTTTTGAGATTGGCTTCCTTCATTTAACATATTGCATTTGAGATTCACCCATGTTCCTGAGTTTATCATTAGTTTGTGTTTTTATTGTCTGGATGCACAGTGTTTATTCATTCACAGTTACAGAACACTAAGCTGTTTAGAGTTTTGGGGTTTTGTGAATAAAGCCACTATAAACGCTTAATTTTAAGTTTAAGATCAATTGATCTTTGGAGGTTAAATACCTAACCTCCAAAAGTGGGATTTTTGAGTCATGGTAAATTCATATTTACCTTTATAAGACTCTGAGATACCTTTTTTTCTAACCTGGCTATACCATATTGTATTTACATCTGCAATGTATGGGAGTTCAAATTGTTCTGCCACCTTGTCACCACTTGGTATTGTAACGTTTTATTTTAATTTTGGAATTCTAATAAACATAAAGTAGTATTCCATTATATGTTAATATCCATTTTCCTAATGATTAATATGCATCTTTCCACTCACTTTTTTGCCATACATATATTTTGCTACCATCTCCACTGTTTGTTTGTTTTTTTTAAGTTGGGTTATTTATTTTCTTGTTATTGAATTTTTAGAATTCTTTATCTCTTTCACATATAAGCCCTTGGTAAGATATATTATTTGCAAATACTTCCTTTCAGGTTGTGGCTTGGCTTTTCATTCTCTTAATAGTATCTTCAATAGAGCAAAAGTGTTTAATTTTGATGAAGTTTAATTTATCCATTTTTAAAATGGATCATGCTTTTGGTGTGTTTTTTTTTTTTTTGCATTTAATAAATCTCTTTGAATTAGTTAATATTGTTAAAATGACCATACTACCCAAACTGACCTACAGATTCAGTGCAATCCCTATCAAAATTCCAATGGTATTTTTCACAGAAAAGATTCTTAGTAGCCAAAGCAATCCTGAGAAAGAAAACTAAGCTGGAGGCATCATGCCTCCTGATTTCAAACTATATTACAAAGCTCTAGTAAACAAAACAGTATGGTATTGACATAAAAAAAAGATGCATAGATCAGTGGAACAGAATAGAGAGCCCAGAAATAAACCCACACATATGAGGTCAACTAATATTTGACAAAGAAGATAAGAACACGCAATGGAAAAAAGGATAGTCTCTTAAGTAAAAGATACTGGGCAAAATGGATAATGGCATGCAAAAAATGAAATTTGACCCTTATCTTCTACCACATGCAAAAGTCAACTCAAAATGGACTAATGACTTAAAAGAAGGACCTGAAACTTTAAAACTACTAGAGGGAAATAGGGAAAAAGCATTTTGACAATGATTTTTTTGTCATGACACCAAAAGCAAAGCCAACAAAAGCAAAATTAGACAAATGAGATTGTGGGATTGCATCAAACTAAAATGTTCCTGCAAAGGAAAAGAATGAATCAATGAAATGAAAGACAATCTACAAAATGGGAGAAAATATTTTCAAACTCTATATCTGGTGAGTTAATATCCAAAAAAAGTGTGAGGGGAGAGCTCTTACAACTTAATAGCAAAATAATTTTAACCCACTTTAAAAATGGTCAAAGGACCATAAGAGACATTTTCCCAAAGAATAGACAAATGGCCAACATGAACATGAAAAGTTGTTCAATCATCAGGGAAATACAAATCAAAACTGCAAAGAGATGACACCTCACAAACATTAGAATGACTGTCAGCAAAAGACAAAAAGTAAGTGTTGACAAGGATGTAGAGAAAAGGGAATTCTTGTGCACTGTTGGTGAACATGTAAATTGGTGAACATTGTGGAAAACAGTATGGAGGTTCCTCAAAAATTAAAAATAGAATTACCCTATGATACAAAGTTTCAAAGTTTGAAAATTGATTATTGAGTCATCCAAATTTATTGTTAAGATGGATGAATAAGAACACATGGCTTAGCGGGCTTTTATTTATATGTCAGACTAGCTGTTGCCTGTAAGATTAATTAATGCAGCATAACACCAAAAATCTAAATTCTTCTTAAAAATAAATGCCAAAGCACTTAGAAGTTTTCCTTACTGTTTTGCAACCCAAAGTGTTTACCTACTAATCTTTTTCAGTCAATTAATTTTTGTGATTTTACCATATATATCTAAAGGTTGATGAACAATACAGATTGTTAATATTTTGGCAGGGTAAGTGAATACTGCTTGAAATTTACATTTTGTATGGGATAGGAGATGAAAGGAAAAATAAAATCAACTTTTTATCTCATTCTAAAATAAGTTACCCCTCAGTGCTTCTGTTGCATAGTATTTGGCCTGTTTTTATACCTTTCTCGCTCTCTCTTTATAAATATATGTATATATTTTTACTATTTAGGTCCCTCAAGACCCACTTAAATTTTATAAGAAGATATACTTTTGCCACAGTTGCCAGCTCTATTTGCCTTCTACGGAGTTTGCTGTATCATCCATCTCACACCGCATATACCGGTGTCGGAACTGCATTAGCCTTGAAAATGAGTCTCGACAACGAGAATCATTCTTGAAGTACAAAAGTTTACTTCAGCGGCTCTACCATTCAGAAGCTGAATACGAAGATGATTCTAAAATTGCTTTCCTGATGCAGGTATAATCAGTAAGATTTGCCAGTCATGGATGAAATTGGTCCACTGATTTCCTGCTTTCCTACCCAAACTTTTTAAACTAATGGATTTCCCTCCCTATGCTTTTATACTTTGAGAGGCTTGCTCCGCTGGCACTTCCAAGTTTATATGTGTAGACTTCTTGATAAAAAGCTGTTTCAAGAGTTTAGCTAATATGGTTTAAATAAAGTTTAAAAACAGTTACTTAATTCCCTCTTCCCTCTTTTTCATTAAAATAAAAAAGCCTTTTCAATAACACCAAGGAAATTGTTTATTTTTAATTAAATTTCAATTTCCTCATTTGTAAAATGGGATTAAAATAATGTACAGTAACCCTGAACATAAGATGATAGTCACTAATACATTTTGAAAAATACTTAATACCATATCAGTAAATGTAAGGTAAAATTAGCATATTGGAAGAAATATATATAGCTTACTCTGGGTCAAAGATGAGGTCATGAATGTGAGATTGTTAACATAATTTGGGCAAAATGAACAGATATTTGGTGGAAAATAAGGAACAATATAGCACTGAAAACCTTACCAATAGTATTTCTCTTTTAAAAATATACATAATATAATTTGTCTCCTTAACTAATATAATAACCTTAAATAACTTTTATGTTTATAAGAAAACATTTTTCAAACTTATTTTGACATGCAGCTGCAAGATATTCAGTACCTGACTGAGAACATCTGGGCGTCCCAGTCAGCACTCAGTGCCTGGAATGACCTCAACGACCTGGCCATGGTCAGGTGGGACAAGTCCCTGGAGTGGTCCCCCTGGAACTGCATTCTTCTCACCAAAGATGAAGGCGCTGCTCACCTCAAGCTAACAAGTGTTGAAGAGGTAACAAAGTTGAACTTTTGGGGGGGAAGTTAACTTAATCATTGGAATTATTAGAGATAAAGTGACTGCCTTTTAATACATTCCTTACATAATTTAAATACTTCCACTGGATTAAGAAACAGAGAACCCATGGATAACAGTAATAAAATATGTGGATGGCATGTGTGGCAGAGATTGACATTAAAGGGAAGCCAGGGCACATGGAAGGTGAGGATAAAAGATCTGAGGGTCTGTACAAGTAGCCAGACATGATAGTACTCCCTGTAATAATAGCAAGTTTAAGCATATTAGTTCTACAGGAGCAGAGATTTTGTTAGGTTGTGTCTCTAGCTGTAATACCTGCAGCAGTGTCTGCCACAGATTAGGGGTTTAGTAAGTATTTGTTGAATGAATACATGAATATTACCACTAGATAGGTATTGTAGAACTAAAATCTGTCCTCTGATTAATCATCATGAGTCTGATAATTAATCCTCAAATTAATTCTGTTCATAATTCTGTGCTCTAAATGACAATCATACTCATGGGGTATAGCTTTGAGGATCCATTTTTTATTTGCTTCCAACCAACCAGGAGTGGGGAAAGCACTTAAAAAATTAAATACCACTTAATTTCAGTAATTTACAACATGTAATCTCTAAAGCATTTTGATGAAGGGAATTGAGGAGTCCCTGATGAGTTCTCAGAGAGCTCCATTTACACTACGCTCCCCTAGAATTCTTACTGCTGATACTGATTCTTTGCCTTCTGTTGATTAAATTAATGTATTTAACTCCATGCAAGATATCAGCTAAGAGAAAATAAAGAAATGATTTCAAATATAACAGTAATTTTGAATAGTGCTCCTCATGGCCTGTGTTTTTATTGGGGAGAGGGAAGTGTAAAGAGGAGAAACTAGTTAAATCTTTAGCTTTTTTGAAGAATTTTCCAGTAGAAGCCAGGCTAAGAAAAATTTTACTTTAGGTATTGAAAGAAAGAGAGCAAGAAATTGAAGCTGTGTTAAATATCGTATTTAGTAAACTAAGCTGCCTCATAAATATTTAATCACTGCAAGCATAGCCAATACTGAAAAAATCATTTCATCCAGCACCCTTAGGCAGATTGAGGTTCATTCACAAAGCTAATATTATACTGCTTCTTCAGTTAATCCATACAGCACCTGTTGTGTATTTAATCAAATTACTGCAGTATCAAATTAAATGTTCTATCCACATCCAGGATGCTGAGCTTATTGAATTTCTGTAAAATAGCTAAGTTTCTCAACTGGGGAAACTCAAAACAAAAATTGCCTCCTTTAGGGTTTTGGCTGGTGTAATCTTTTAAGTATTAATACTTAACCTAGTTAAGGAATAATTGGTCTTGCAGCAAGTTCAAGCATTTCCAGAATTTTCTTAATGCACAGATATTTGCTTTCTCAGTAAATAAAAAAAAAAAATTCAGAAGTTAAAATAATCTTGACTCCCAGTAATCATGACACAAAGTTGTAGGAAAAGCATGGAAAAAGGCTTCTATTCTTTAAACTGTAAATGAGGCAGAGCAGTTTCTCGTCGTGTGCACATTGGCCAAAGTAAGAACGATAGTGGATTTAAAGTCAGGATACATGGCCCCATATTCCCCATTCTTGTCACTAACGATATGAACAACATTAAAGCTGCCCTCTTTGCTTTATCTGTTTTTATAAAGGTTACCTGAAAACATGGAATTAGTATAGAGTACCCCAACTTTGAATTCTGGCTCTATCACTCATGAGCTGGGAGAAGTTACGCAAGCTTGTTAATAATGTCTTGGTGCTCTGGTTTTCTCATCACTATAAAGGGAATAACATAAAAAGTGGGTAATAGATATTGGCAGTCTTTTCGTATTATTCTTTAAGAGTTGCTTATTATTCCTTTAATTGTATGAACCATAACATGCTTATATAATTTTTAAGGATTACTTTTTGGCTCTGTAAAAGCACTTTGAAAGCCTACAAAGTCCTGTATATATATAATTTAATGCTGCATACAGAAATGAAATAATTTTTCTTGAATAAATATGGGCTAAGAGGTGATGCAATGAAGTTAGATTAGTGCAAAGGATGACTATTTTGACCTGTTAAATTTGTCTGTGGAGAAGAAAATTTAAAATAAGCCCAGGATACTCCTACCTAGTACTTTCTGCGAGAATATTATATTTTTTGGCTCCTTTTCTCCAGGGATTTCTTTACTTTTGATTGACACTACGGAGGGGAGGGATCTTTCGAGAGAGGATGTCTTATTCTCAGAACACAAATTTTAGGAGGAGGTACAGGCAGTATCTATCATTTGGTTGAAAAGAAGGGTCCGTTACTATTAATAAAGAGAATAGATGGTATTTGTTAATTCAATCAGAATTTAGTTTTGAATGTTCCACATACTGTGCTAAATCCTTGGAGAAAAACACAATTCTTCATTGTTTGAGTTGCATGAGTTCAGCTGCCAGTAATAGACTAAGCAGTTTACAGTGACTTAATCAAACGGGGGATTAGTTTTCTTGTGTAACAAGAGGTGCAGAGGTTGGCAGCCTGGGCTGGTTTGGTGGCCCTGCAATGCTCTCACAAACCCAGGTCCTCCACCCTTCCCCTCTGCCATATTTAATCTTTAGCTTTTGTTTTCCTGCTTGTAGACTCTTAGAGATAAGATAGCTACTCTAACTCCTCCCAGGTACGGCAAACGTCTAAACGTGCTGGACAAGTCTTTTCACTCTTGATAAGCTTTCCTGTGAGTGCTAATGACTTTTAATTATATGTGTATGTATAATGGCCAGAAACTTGTCACATGGCCACCTATAGCAAGAATAAATGCTAGGAAAGCGGAGCATGATGTCACAAAATACAAAACCAGGCCCCTATACAAAATCAGGCCTCTAAATATAAGTGGGAGAGAGAATGCCACTGGGTTGGCAACTAGTAGTCTGCTGCTCTCTCTAGAAAACTGATTGTCTCACAGTCATGTGACAATGTTATGTGAAAGTTCAAAGTGCTGCTATAGCTGCGGGGAGACAAGAAACCTATTAACTGAGAACAAATAAAAGTAAAAAAGCACAAAGACTTGATAGGCAGGCATGTTATTTTCTGATTAGAAGCCAGAAGAGAGAGAATGCAAGGATTCCTAAGATGGGAACCTGGGGCAGTAAAAGGGGCAACCAAAGAGAGGTTTGCATTGTCACAACACCAACGCGATCTTTCCTTTGAACTCTAGGGATACGGGAAGGACCAAGTTTGGAAAATAAAGTCAAGCTGCTAATTGTATCAGTGTTGAAAGAGGCTTAGGAGAACCACAGTGACACAAGTGCCTTCTTTCGAACCTCATGGTGACGAGATACACAGCTATGGAAAAGGCCCAGTTCGAGACTTCAAGTTTTCTTTATCATGGAAGAGATTCTCAAGAGTATAGTGAATTTCAAGGCAGAATAACCTAAATATTACAATTAAAATACATAAAAGTGTTTGCAAGTACGGAGGCCAGAAGGTTTAGGTTGGAGTCAGATTGAGTTCAGAAGGAGAATCAGGAGAGCCTTGCAGGTTAAAGCATCATAGCAACTGAGCCCTGAAAAATGATAGACAGAAGGGAAGAAATGTACTCGGGGCTCAAAGAACTAATAAGCAAAGGCATTGAGGCGTGAACCTGTTTTTACTTGGCAAAATATATCTGTGACATGTAATAGAATTTGATTTTCTTTTCTTTTCAGGGATATGAACCCTTATTTATTCACAAGATCCAGCACAAGCATATCCTGGCTAAGAACTATTTTTCTCAAATTCCAGTCCTGGCTGCATTTATACTTGATGATGCTGACATAGCTGAGATCAGAAAGAAATATCACCCAGAAACAACACCTAAGATTATAGAATCCCCAAGGCCTAATGCTTAGAAGACCCAGGAGTATTTGTCTGATGATCAGCATTTTTGTCTACTGCTACTAGAGTAATACAGAGATCACACAATATAGAAATAGAACTTTTAAAGTTGACTTTAAGTGATTTTAATAGTATCATACGTTGTATAAAGAGAAGACATCTCTGTATATGTGCTTTACTGTGAGACGATTGATGTTAAAATATGATTTTGTTACTAAAACAATATTTTAAAAAAACATTTTACATATTTTTACATTAACATTTAAAAAATTTTCACATGCATTATAGTTAAAATTAATAGATAAAAGCTAGGCTTGACTTTCAACCCAAGAAATGTATTTTAGATAATATGTATTTACAGAAGAATAGCCAGTATACAGGTGGGTGGGAGGAAGCATTATAGAATTACCTTTTTTGAAAATCTTTACAGGTAAGAGAAAAGACACTATTTTTAAGGTAGGGATTCAAATTTTCTCTTTTTATCTTCACTTTCACCTTCCATCCTTCTCAAAATCCCAAGCGAACAACTGAAACGATTTATAAACAAACAAGTAAAGGTACATTCTATGCTGGAAAACGGGGTAAAGAGTGGAACTACCTTCCTATGGGAGAAAAAATCCTAGTGGGGCAACAATGAAAACTCTGTAGAAGGATTAAACTTGATCAAGGAACAATAATAATCCCTTTCTCCAATAAACCAAAAGAATAACCTTGACCATATGCATATCAAGGACCTACAATGATGAACTAGGGTTTATGAGTCAGTCTTAACAGGAGATAGTCTTAACACTCCGAATTTACAAAGGAACTTATAAAGTGTGGGCAGTGTGTAAGGAAACTAAATTATAGTACAGGAGCCCAGGGCCAGTATGAGATAAAGGATGTCTACTCCTTGTCTCAAATGAACTGGGGAGGCAGGGTTCTGGAAACCCAGAAAGAGAATGAAGAAGGTAACCGAGAAGACCAGAGACCAGCCCTAGGGTGACCTCATGAACTAGAGAAATAAATACTCTGATCCCACACCGCTCCCTTCCTCCAGTCTTCTGCTTGAATTTTCCATTGATGGAACCCCACCTCCCCCAAAAGCAGAAGAAATACAAGTCTGTTGACATAATGCATACAGCTTCAGGACAAAGAGCAAAGTAGAAAATGGGGAGAGTGGATCTGGATGGCTAAGTAGACGTTAATGAGCTAGAGAGAAAAAGATAAAAGGTGAAGATCTATAATTCAAGTAGCAATATTTCACACTGCAACACAATTATATAAATGTATATTTAAGGTTAACAGCAGGAAGGTACGTAGAAAAACAAGATTAAAAATATCATGGTGCATAACTTTAAACAGGTTAAAATTCTCTAGTAAAGGATAGTTATTCTCATAGTGCATCAAAAGAGTGAGATATATGCAGTATAGCAGGTATATACCCCAAATAAAATGACATATAAAGATTAAAAATTATCAGTCATATGCAAATAGACAAAAAATGGTGGCAATAATATCAAAGACGAAATTGGGAAGAAAAATTTCAGAGCAAAGGGAGTTATTTATCTTGATAAATTGTAATTCACAATAAAAATGAATAATTAATCTCTGTTGGATACAAAGTTGGTTTAAAAAAGTCAATTGAGAATTATCCATAGGCTTCTCATGTTTCTGCATGATATTTTGAGCAGAGGCATTTTATGTTATGCAGGACTTATTTTCAAGGGTGTTTGTAAAGCAAAGAGACTTGGATGGTATACTTTTTATGGTTCATTATGAAAGATTCAGAGTATCTGAGCCCAGGATTCCTATCCTGTAATGCAACTCATGGGTGTGCATGTGTTACCTGGACTTTGTGTCACCTGGACTTTGTGTCACCTGGACTTTGTGTCACCTTGAAGGAATTAGGTCAAAATGCTTATATTCTGTCTGCTGCTATTTCTGTGTCCAATAAACTGTGCTTCATCTCTGACCCAGGAACCTTGTATCTTCTGTCATCTATGAAATTGTAGCAGGCAAACTTGTTAGCTTGCACTTAGTATAGCATTCCTGACCCTTCACAGTTCTCAGCAAAAATGACCTCATAAATGGAAAAAAAAAGCTAAGAGGTAGAAACCTCTTAGTAGTGTTCAGGAACACTGTGTGCTTGATTACAATTCCCCACCCTCTTGAAGCGAGGCATGCTTTGCCCAACTTAATGCAAGTCAAATTGTGTCACTTTGGAGCATTGAATGAATAAATAATTACAATTCTATAGATATTCTTCTAAGAAATAGAAAAAGAGTGAATACTCCCCAAATCATGAGGCGAGCTTATCCTTGATATCAAAAATTGACAAAGATAGCGCAAGAAAGAAAATGATAGGCCATTTTCACAATGAATATGGATGCAGAAACCCTAAACAAAATGTTAGCAAACCAAATAAAAGTTATTAAAAGGTAAAACAGATGGCTTCGGTGGGATAGTCTTCATTTGCCTCCTTAGATCTACCTCCCACCCTTCCCCTCTCTCCACTTTGTGCCCTTGGAGGCTGATCTTTGTGCACTGCATCAATGAGCACATAATGTCCTCCAGTTGTGTTGGTCAGTGGGAAACAGCAGCAGGAAATTCGAGGTGTGAAAGAAAGGCAACGATCGCAGCATGTCTCCCCTTCGCTTCTCCCACCTGAGTTTTGGTCTGTTGTCAGTGATTGCATTCTTCTTCCTGAGACCACATCTCTGGTGTATAGTCGTTCCTCATATGCTACAACTCTGAATTCTGGGACTCATGCCTTGTTACTTCTTCAGCTTATGGGTGATAATGTCTTTCTTTTGTAAGTAAGTTTAAGGTGATTCTCGTTTTTTATTTTGATTTCCTTAAACAGTGATCTCTCCTTGTAAATAGTCCTTTTACTAAATACTTCTCAAATTAACTAGTTTGAGTGTGTCACCAGGTTCCTGCTGGCCCCTGGCCCCAGCAAATGGACTTTAACGTGGAATCCTAGGCTTGAACTGCTCATACATTTGGAGAGCATATGAATAACCTTCTTGTCAGGAGGACATGGGACACTGGATGTATGCAGCATGTGGTAACATCATGATTACTCAAAATGTCCCAAGCAGAGCAATAGAATGGGTTGCACAGGGAGTGGAAGTGTAGGGAGATCAAGTGGCTGAGCCAGTTTGTCACTTTAATGACAAACGTTATGGCACAGGATGGTATTTCTTACTCTAGAAAGGGTTCATAAAGGAAAGAATAATTTGAAAGCTCTGACTAATCAACACAAGGCCCAGACAGAAATTTAGAAAGCCTTTATGATGACTCTAAAGAAAGTACTTATCTCCTGTATTTATAGGACAGAGGTGACTGAGAGTTAAGTCTGGAACCTGATTTGGAAGTAAATAATATAACCAGAGATAGAAACAGTAACTATTAAGACATGAGTCTCCCAATTTAGAAGACCTGTTAAGAAAATCTTTATTTGTATGAGAGATGATTTATCTTGTTAGGTGGAAATGTAGGAAGCTCAAATATGGAGAGAAAATTGCAGAGAGGAGCTGAGTGGCCAGAGAGGTCCGTTCTGCCAGGTGTCAGCTCATGGCCTCTCAGCTCTAAATCCTCAGCTTCAAGGCCTTCTTTGCCCTACTTTTGGTACTGAAGCTGGACTCATACATAGTTCCCCTTGGCAGCTGGCCACATGTTAGGTATTTGCAGTGGAGGTTGCTGGAGAGATGATGAAGTGAGGGACTTAGTTTTCTGGTCTTGTGTGCTTTTTCGTGCTCATTCCTATAGCATGCATTGGGGAGCAGTGAGCGGAACACCCTGTGATCAGCGATTTTTGCCAACACCTTCCCGGCAGGGAAGTCTGCTATGGTGCTGCAAGCCTGGAACAGGCACTGAATATTGTCAGAACCCCAGGGAGTGGCTTCCCAGTGAATCTTGCCTGAAAGTTGGTGGGCAACTTCCTGCTTGCCAGAGCAGGCTTGCAGCACCATAGCAGACTTCCCTGCCACATGAACACCTTCTTAAACAAAGTCTGACTCAGCTTCATCTTGAACATTCATCCAAATTTGCTTCTCCCTTGGGTGATCTGCCTCCATGTTAGAGGAAGTGACTGTTCCCTACCTCTGCTGCTCTTAAATTCTTCATGCAATTCTCTTAGTAGTAATCTCTTGTTATTGGAAAAGAATTCTTTATATTAAAATTTCCATGTTCAAAATAGAGTGGTGGTTTGGTTTGGTTTTGTTTTGTCTCCTGATCTGACCGTGACTGACATAGCAAGGAATGTTCAGATTCTCTAAGTAAGACACTATTCGTTGCACGCTGTGTCTAACCCACTATAAATAGACACAATGCTGAATGGGCTTCTGAGATTCTAGAGGCAACATGTACCACATTTGGGTATGCTGATCCCCAAATGTGGGCATTTATTGAGTAAATCTTAAAGCTGCCAGGTTTTAAACAAATAGGTCACAAGACGCTGGCAGAGTAGGAGGGTCTTTCTCATACCTTCCGGAACCAAACTGGAAATAAAAATAAAGAGGGGACCAGACACCTGAAATAATCAACTGAAGACTACCCGAAGAGGAGACTTTTTAACCAAGAATAGGCAGAAACTACCTTGCGATTGGTAGGAAGGGCAAGGACATGAAAGGGGCTGGCCCTGCCCCCACTGGCAGAAGGCGGAAGTTACAGCTCAGCTGTGGGGGCTTCTTCCTGAGAGACCTGAAGCCGGGACCCCAGACCATGCTCCCAAACACAGAACACCAGGGCTGGGATTAGCCACCCATGCAGCATCCAGTGGCAAAAGGCTGTGGGGGTTTGTCTGCCAGGGAGAGATGGAGCCTGCTGGAGACAAAGCCACTGTTTTTTAAGGGGCCAAAGCACGGACTTTTCATTTGCAGCCACTCACCTTGGGCTCTGGCAAAGGGAGGAGAGCATATACTGGAGTCGCCTGAAGAGGGTCTGGACTAGGGGACATTAAGGAGAGACGGGGACTGGCTGCTGGGATTCCTGTGCTGGGACAACTCCTGATCCTCAGCAGCCATTTTTC